TTATCAATGAATGATATTCAACGTATTATCATATCAATCGTTTGACATACCATATCAATCGTTTTAATATGTCATCGAAAAATTTTAATGAATGATATTCAACGTATTATCATATTAATCGTCTAACCGAAAATTAACTAAGTAAATACATATATAAGTAACATAATATTTAGAATAATTTTTAATGTCGAAAATTAACTACGTATATAATTTTGAATAATATAAGTTATATATTTAGAATAATTTTTAATATTTAAAACTAACGAAATAAATTAGATAATATTTTGAATAATTTTTAATTGTCTTTTCTCTTTTTCTCTTTTAATATAAATTAACATAAAATTATATTAAACAATTAGCAAAAAATTATTGTTAAAATAATTATACCAGCAATTAATCCTTGAAATAATGCTATTTTAAGCATAATATTTATATTGCACTGTCGTAATCGTTGTGATTTTCGAGAAATTCGTGTCAAAAATGGTTCCGAACATTCCGAACGATTCTGTGATCGTTCATATCGTGAATGCGATGGTTGAGATGGACTGTATGGTGGAGGATCATGTATCATACGTATTGATGAAGGCAAATCGTCATGGTTCTAAGAAAATTTAATTATAAACAATTGGAATAAAACAAAAAAAATGATTTAATGATTTAAAAGATTTAATGATAATGATTTGAAACTTTAGCTAATTAAATTAGAATAATATTAAATAATATACCTCAATTACAGGTGCTGAAGGTGTGAATTGAATCATCGTAGATTTCACTGCCATTACAATCACTATTTAGCACACACTATCGCATTCGTATGATCTCCTAGTTTTTTCATTCATTTCAAATTTCTTATAAATTAAAGTTTGATTTAACAAATTGCGTAAATGAAAGAAATGTTTGATCTTCCCGCCCAAAGAAATAATTTTTGAAATTTAATTTTTATTTCAAAAGAAGGAAAAAAAATGGGAAATTCTTCGAACGATTATTAATTACAAAATATTTAACAATCATTAATTAATAAAATTGGAAATTAGTATTTAGATAATTATGATTAAATTTATTTTAATTTGATTACCTAATTATTTATCATAATTATATCATCAATTCATATCATTATTTTATATTTGATAATACAGTTATATCATCTATTTATATCATTATATTATATCATTAATTTGATAACGTAATTATGTCATATATTTATATCATTAATTTGATAATACAATTATATCATATATTTATATCATTAATTTGATACAGTTATATCATCTATTTATATTATATTATATCATTAATTTGATAATACAGTTATATCATCTATTTATATCATTAATTTGATATGTTAGCGAATTTCTATTAGCAAAAAATCTTTTGCATTCATTTAATTTCATTTAATTTCAAATTATATTTACTAATAAATTTTAAATGAATTATTTGAAATGTTGGAAATAAACTGATAGAATGTAATTAATTAAAATTCGATTAATTTTTAAAATTTTTAGTATTTAAAAATATTTCGAATTTAAAATATTTTTGCTAAT